CCTGCTGATTTCCCAGGATGCTATATTAGGCCCGTTTTTAGACAGAGCTGCAGAAAGGTCACGTAAGAAAGTCCCAGACCAGCAACACTGTGAGGCTGCTGCAGCTAATTGCTGTGACTGTTGCCCCTTGTTAGCAGTGGCTGGGCTAGCACAGATGCTTTGCTCTATTTCAGCTGGTCTCTTCTCTGAACTGCTACTTCTTCAGGCAGGGCTGAAGAAGAGGAGTTGAGACACGTTGGTGCTTTACACCCCCGCTAGCACAGGTTCCCTAACCCTAAAGTGAAGTTTGAGAACAGTTTGCACTTATATGAAATGCTGGTAGTGTTTTCATTGAGGCAGATCTCCTTAGTCTTGCCTAACCTGGATGCCTTCTGGGGGTGGACTATTTCCCTGCTTTTCCTAAAACCTGACCTGAGAAAAGGGACTGCTGTAACTGAGCTCATATAATGCTCTTCCCTGTTTAGGTCAGTATGGGATTCCCAGACCCTGGTACTTTCCTTTCACAAAGTCCTATTGGTTTGGCGAGGAACCGCAGGATAGGCAACATCCTCATCCTGACCAGAAGGGCCCTTCAGAAGGTAAGTGCTGGACACAAAGAGCCTTTTTGCTCTGTGAAGCGTTGGGGTCTCTCTGTTTGAAAGCAGAGTCCAAGAGTGAGCAGGGCCAGCATGGCCAAGGTGAAATTGGTCCGTGCACACTTGGGACACGCTGACCTGGTGGGTGTAAGCAGATAAACCTGGGGGCACCTCGTCCACATGAGGGCAGGAATGGAGGGTAGGTGGGTACTCCAGCCTCGTGGAGTTCAGAAGTCCTTTGCTGACCTTGGTGGCATCTGAGATCTGATTCTAATGCAGTGCAAATGTCCAAATGAGGCCAGTGAAGTGAAGAGAGCTTAAGGGCAGTGTCTATGGGAGGTTCCTGTCCCAGAGGAAGAAAAGTGGGAAGTTTTTCATACAGCTCATTACTCCACGGATCTCAGCGGACTGGGGAAATGTGTTACAATTGCGGCACAGTTAAATGCCACCGGCAAACCCATCATCTCCCACTCCTGTTTGTTCTATTTTGCTTCCAGTGTGCAAGGAGGAAGAGCCCATGCATCTGAGCCTTGGGGTTTCCATCCAGAATCTGGTCAAGGTTTATCGTGATGGCAAGAAAGTCGCTGTAGATGGTCTCACGCTGAACTTCTATGAAGGGCAAATCACTTCCTTTCTGGGACATAATGGAGCGGGGAAAACCACTACTATGTAAGAGCAACACAGTACCTTAAGATGGTGGGGGAAGTGGCTCTCACTCATACCGTCCTCATCAATATGGTACATGTAGCCATCTAGATGCAGTGGGCAGAGCTAGTGTAAACTAGGGTGCTCTGTGGATATCGGTGGATTTCTGCTGATTTTCTCTACCTATGCAGCTGTCTCAAAAGATACACTGTTACAGGGACTGAAATGCTCTGAACTGGAGGTACCTCAGGTTCAGATTGAGGTTGTGCCTGAATGCATCTGCTGGTATCGTTTTTCAGTAATCCCATTTGTGATTCGCCTTTATCAGCATAAGGAAATGAAGAGGGACTGAAAGCATGGGAAGCTTTTAAGGAGAGGAAAAGATATTTCCTTTGAGTGGAGTCATGCGGGTGTGCTTTGATCACAGCGTTAAAGCCGTTGGAGCTGGAGTTTATCCGTTAGTGAGATGTTTTTCAGGCTGGTTTCCTGACATGGGAATTCCTCAGGGCTTCCACCCACTTGTCATTCATTCATGCTGGTGTGTATAACAACCACCTCCTAGGGGTGGAAGCTGTTTATTGGTTATCTTTGTCATTCAGGTCCATCTTGACTGGCTTGTTTCCTCCAACCTCGGGTACAGCCTTCATCCTGGGCAAAGATATCCGCTCTGAGCTCAGCACCATCAGGCAGAATCTGGGTGTCTGTCCACAACACAACGTGCTTTTTGACTTGTGAGTAGCATCCATGAGATGGCGGGGCTGGAGGTATCCAACGCACATTTGGGTTCTTTAGGAGACACTAGTGTGCTTGCGATTAGGATGGTGCTATTTTTATCTGTGTATATGGTGTGAGGCAGCAGGGAGATGTCAGATATGATGCAGGGACATTCTGTTCATAAGTGGGGTCAGACGTGCCTGTGAATTATCACCTAGATCCTACACTTTTCATCCTTCTCCTCTCTTTAAGAAATACGCTCCGCTCAACTTAGCTAGGTCAAATGTTTTTGCCTGCCTAGTAATCTGGGACGTTTTGGGAACCTTGTCAAGAACCTTTGAAGGAGCAACGTTTATACTGATGCTGAACAGCCGCACTGAAAGCAGGCTCAAGCTGAGCACACCTGATCCTTAGTTATTTCCTGAAACCTCAAACTTAGAGGATGTTTCCCCAGGCAAACAAACATACCTGCCTTAATGCAAGGGATGAATCCCAGTGTGATTATCTCAGCTGTGCTCTGAGTCTGCCCTTGTTCCCTAGGCTGACCGTGGAAGAGCACATCTGGTTCTATGCTCGTCTCAAAGGGCTGCAGGAAAAGAAGGTGAAAGAGGAAATGGAGCAGATGGCAATGGATGTTGGTTTACCTCACAAACTCAAAGCTAGAACTAGCAAACTCTCTGGTAGGTTCAACTGCTTTTACATTTCTCAACTGCTCCCTGGGCCCCAGAGAAAGCCCTCTCAGGAGGGCTTGACAGAGGCTGGCTTCGGTATTGAAAGCCCTGACGTTATCTCGTCACTACTGCCTCTGCTACACTTCCACTGGAGGAGAATGTCTTCGGGACGTAATCCTGCAGTTCTGGCTGTAGATACCTGTGCCCCAGATCCTCAGAAATGTTTAGGTCCCTGAGCAGGGGACTTGTTACTGCTGGTTTTAAGATGCAGTGTGATCTGTTTGTGGAAGGGTTTGCATGGCATGGTTTATTGCAGTAGGAGAAGAAGTGGCTTCCACTGGGGGAAAACTATCCAACTAACAACCCTGCCCTGCAGGTGATGAGACCCTGCTGGGCCTGAAGCAGCAGCAGCACTTGATCTTCTCAGTGTGCAATTCTGCTTTCTCTGGGAAAGCTCAATTTTCACCTTGCTACAACAGATGCTGCTCTGTAGGCCTCAACACCTCTCTCTTGTTGTGCCTGTCAGGTGGCATGCAGAGGAAGCTCTCGGTCGCCTTAGCCTTTGTTGGTGGCTCCAAGGTTGTCATTCTGGATGAACCCACAGCTGGAGTGGACCCTTATTCTCGCAGAGGGATATGGGAATTGCTGCTCAAGTATCGGCAAGGTAAGTGTTCTTCTGGCTTATTCCCAGTGAACGTGGTACCAAAAGCAAAAGGAAATCAATCTGTGATTTATGACTGTTTGCGGAACCGGTGTGTTCCCAAGATAGCAGTGCGTATTTGCAAATCTGTCGTTGCTTGTGTTGAAGGTAGGAACAAAGATCATGAGGGACATGTGTGTTCTGATCCCTCGCTCACCCGCCCTCCTTTCTCACCCCGTTCGTGTCAGAGTGCTCATGAATAAGCCAGGTTCCTCACTGGACTGTGAGAGTAGCTAAGAGCAGAAATTCTCCCTCAGTGTGCTGCAGAGTCCCTCTTGCTCTGTGCAGACATGCTTGCAGACAGGAGATCAGCTTGCTTCAACTAAGCATGAGGAGGGCCATTGGAGGCTGGCGGGAATCCAATAGTGACATCTCTGTGGGCCTTTTCCGTACTGCTAACCTCATTCAAAGGAGCCTGGAGTTGTGGGATAAATCTTCTACCCAACTTTACGGCAAGAGCCAGATGACTGTGGCCTTTCCTAGCTTGGAGACATGGATGCAGTTGACTTACTGGCAATGTCTTCCTTTACCTGATTGCAGGACGAACAATCATTCTCTCCACACACCACATGGATGAAGCAGACATTTTGGGGGACCGAATCGCCATCATTTCTCATGGCAAGCTGTGCTGTGTTGGCTCTTCCCTATTCCTGAAGAACCAGCTGGGAACAGGCTATTATTTGACCCTAGTCAAGAAGGACGTGGATTCTTCTCTGAGCTCCTGCCGAAACAGCAGCAGCACTGTGTCTTATTTGAAAAAGGTACAGCTATCCACTTCTGCTCATGTCCATCCTACTCACTTGAAATCTTAGGCTGATGGGAAGCAGCAGCTAATATTTTTTAGGGTAGAATGTGCTGAAGAGAAATCACTTATTCTTTAAAAACAGTGATTTGCTTTAATACATACTACCTCAGATCCCATCTAGTTAAACTGTTCCATGGGAAGAACACTTCCATTGTAGTTTCTCTTAATGCCATTGCTTCCAAGGTTGCTTGGAAAGATAAAGAATAGAGTAGATGCATCCTTTTGTAAAATGTATTTCTATTACCGTGACCTCTTACTTGTGTTTAAACCCTTTGCAATGGTATGTCACCCTTACGTTCTAAGTCCTCTGTGGAGTATCCAGCATGCTGCACTATCTGATTGGAGTTACAAAGGCAGTGTAGCATCTGGGTTGGCCCCCTTTTTAATTAAACAGCAAAAACAATGATTGTTTTCTTTTCTCTGGCCAGGATGATAGCGTCTCCCAGAGCAGCTCTGATGCTGGCCTTGGCAGTGACCATGAAAGTGACACCTTGACAGTAGGTGAGGCCTGGAAAAAGAACGTGCGAGATTCAGTCCCAGTGCTATTATTTCTTGTTCTTTGACCTTGGGCAATGGCGCGAACCTTGTTGTGCCCCTGCGTAGCTACAATCTTGGGCAGATTGCGAAGTTCATAGAGCCAGTATTTTAAATACACAAAGATGTTTCTCTTAGTGAGCTATTTTGTGTACATGTTGACCTGAAATTTAACAGTTCTCAAAGAAGATGTGCTTGCTAAACCTATTGGCAAGATGTAAAGTCTGCTGGTGAACTTTCAATCATGATTTACAGGGCTACCAGTAGCATTTAAAAGTTCTACCAAGTTCTGCAAACAAAAAGAATAGCCAGGTTCGGGTCCAAGCTTGTCCTAGGTGTGGAAAAGAAATCAGTTTTTCCATGGAGATGTGCTCATTTCCAGAGCTGTCCCATTTTCCCTCCTTTCCTTCCACCAAAATTTTTCAGACCCTGAGCTCTTTTCTCTGTGTGACGCCCAGAGTAAAAAGGTGAGCGTCGTTTTTTTCTTTGATTCTTCTAGACGTTTCTGCAATCTCAAATCTGATTACAAAGCATGTTTCTGAGGCCAGACTGGTGGAGGACATTGGGCATGAGTTAACCTATGTCTTGCCATACAAAGCTGCTAAAGAGGGAGCTTTTGTGGAGCTGTTCCATGAAATTGATGACCGCCTCTCAGATCTTGGCATTTCCAGCTATGGCATTTCTGAAACCACCCTGGAGGAGGTGAGTGAGCTGAAGCTTCTCTTTTGACTTAGACTAGGTAAAATAAATGATTGCAGAAATAAGGGCAAGACAGTCTTGTTTCTTCTTCCTGTAAGCGTCAACCAACTTGTCATGGGACAGGCAGCTCTGCATTCCTCTCGGAATGATTCTCTTTGACCCTGTTTCTGTGCGTGTTCACAGAGAAGCATTAAAACCTGAAATGTATTATAGGCAGGCACGGGGCCTCTCTAGTTATTTGGACTTCAGTGAGGTGCCATATGACAGTTGGCCCCTAATTGGCGCCTAATGATTGTCTGCAAGTCTGATGACTGTATGACTTTGAGGTGTTTTTTAGGAATGTTTTGTACTGCACTTTTGTACTGAAAAGATCCATTTCAGTCCTGGAGGCTGGCTTTGTATGGGAACCCTTAAGCCAGATCCGCTCATCAGGGCCATTTTTAGGATCACTCCTTCTGACAGTGTTACACCTTGTAAGTGTCCCTTTCACTTATCACACAAAGGTCAAGCACTTTATCCCAGATTATCTGAAATGGCGTAGCATTTCTTAACAGTAATGAAGAAAGCTGATCTGATATTGTCGTCCCTTGTTTAGACTGCCCTGTGTATCATCTTCCTGTAGCTGTGCAGGCCTCGCTGCTATCTGCAGTTTGAAAATCAGGTCTCTCTGGTTTAGAAGACCCAGGGGACAAGCTCCACAAAAATTCATACTCCAGTATGAATAGGAGCGTCAGCGCTTTTTGACTAGAAGGAAAGAGGAGATCCATTAATTTAGTACCAAGGTTTCTTTCCGAGGCATAGGAAACGGCTTTTGTTTGAGACTTGCTCAGAACTGACACTGGAAAGTGGGGAAGGGCTGATGCGTGGTTTCCAGCTATGCTCCTGAAGTTTGGAGAGGAGCCACAAAATCCATACCCCCATCACTGAGGGGACAAATCCCGTGTCCTCTGTTCTCATGCTGCATCTGTCAGTCTTGGGCTCTGTCACGGCATTGCCTCAAGCAGTCCCCGTAATACTGCACCACTTCTGTTTTTCACTGACACTTATTGTTGCCTTTCAGATCTTTCTCAAAGTGGCTGATGATAGTGGGGTGGATGCAGAAACCTCAGGTGAGCATGGTCATCTTGTAGAGCATCAAAGAGGACTTCAGGGAGTGGTTGCCTTCCACATGGGATTTATGTTGTTTAAGCACATGGCTGCTAAGGCCTAGGTATTTCAGGAGTAAAATCTCAGCACAGAGCTTAGCCTCTCGAGGAAGAAAGGGTTATATCAAATGAGGAGCGTTCCTGTTTTCTGTCGGTAGCTTTGGGCAGGTGGGTGACCCCTGTGTATGGCTGTATGACCAGCTGTACAGTGACACATGCCCAGATGTGGTAGGTCCTATTTAAGGACTCAAACTAGCTGTTCTTAGTACACTTAAAGTACGCTGGTATTACTGTTATCTTCTACTGAATCAATGGTAACATGTTTATTTTATAAGAGCGGAGAGTTTCTCATGTTTGAGTGTGTCATGACACTATTGTGTGCTCTGATGAGGAGAAGAACTCTGACAGGGTCAGACCAGAGTAGGGACTCACTGACTTTTTCTTTGCTCTGAGAGTGGCTCACTGCCGTGAGTACTCATGCCAACATTTCCTGATAAACTAGTACCAGCAGCTTGCAGTTGATTTCACATGCATCTGAAGTGAGCATTTTCTTACTGTGAGAGCAGCCTGCCTGCATGGCTAAATAGAAAGAACAGAATGTGTCCAGTGTACTGGAAGAAGCTTCTAGGACAACAGCTAAAAAATGGTGCATAAGACGTGATTCATTGTGAAATGGCAGGGATGATTTTAATTCTTCTTTCACTGGAATCATTCCAGCTCAGCTCCTCAATTTGCAAGTGGGAGTCATTCAGAACGGAAATTATGTTGCTTTACTTTCTCCGGGGCTAATTGGAGACTGAAGAGGTTCATTATCCTAATTAACTGAAGCAGTTGAGCTAACCATATCTGCATTACTGTCTTCAGATGGGACCCTGCCAGCCAGAAGGAACAGACGCGTATTTGGAGACAGACAGAGCTGCCTTCGTCCGTTTACAGAGGATGATGCATTTGACCCTAATGATTCAGACATAGATCCAG